GGCGGCGCTGGAACTGCCTCGGCGTGCGGTCCGTCTGTTCGGAAATGAGAAAAATGGCCGTCGTTTACAAGGAACTGTTGGCAGACAAGAGGATATTGGTGGCTGGGAACACACACCCGCGTGCACAAAACACACACACACACACACACACACACACACACACACACACACGCATGTACAAAACGCACACACACACACATATATACACGCACGCACACCGAAAAATAAAGGGAGATGATGTGCAATTAATATATATTACTGAGACGTTAGTTGTATTGATATATGTTATGATGATAATAATGATAGTAGTTAGTGTTGATAATGCTAATTATTATCACATCATCGTGATCATCTGTGAGTGTGTGCGTGTGTGTGTGTGTGTGCGTGTGTGTTTCTGTGTGTTTGTGTGTGAGAGAGCCCCTGTGAGTGTGTGCATGTGTGTGTGTGTGTGTGTGTGTGTGTGTGTGTGTGTGTGTGTGTGTGTGTGTGTGTGTGTCTGTGTGTCTGTTTGTACCCCTGTGAGTTCATGTATATATGTGCATAAGAGTGTAATTGTAACAATCAACAAACACTTTTATATTTTTTTAATATGACCGTAAAAAAAATCGATAGAGGAGGCTTTAGCAATCTAACCCAATTAAGTTGTACCCACAGTATGGCTTACCTATTGAAATACCTTCGCGTGGAGGTTGCACGGGCTAAAAGGACTCACAATGAAGCAACGGGTAAACAACGTCTATTCATGGCGACGAAATCTATCACATATGAACACAAGACGTCCCTTGATTTGTTAAGGATGAGAAAATACATGCACTTACCTTACGATATATTGTACAGTTTACTTGGATGTCATAAAATGCGTGGAAATTAGTTGATCGAATATATTAGGTATTTTTTTTATATATATGTTTGATTACTGTTGGCGTTGTGGATCTGTTCTTGTTTTGTGTTCATGTATGTTGATAAATTTATCGTGACTGTCTATCTATCTAGATTGATAGATGTTGATAGATTTATCGTGATTTTGTCTATCTATCTAGATTGATAGATGTTGATAGATTTATCGTGATTTTGTCTATCTGTCTAGATTGATAGTTGTTGATATATTTACCGTGATTTTGTCTATCTATTTGTCTATCTATCTATCTATCTGTATCGTAATTTGGTGGGAATGACAATCAATAAAATACAGTACAAGGGTACAGTGCATGACTCTTGAATATTAATAATACACACACTATCGGGAAGTGATAATAAAGTTGATATAACTGCTTTTAGAGTTTCTTTAAAAGATGTTTTTTTTATGGTGAATGGAAGGCTCTATGTTAAAGAAGTTTATTTTACCAAGTATAGAAAAAAATGAAAAGTGAAAATTATTAACTTCACAGGAAGATAATTGGCGCGTATTGAATTATTTTTTTATTAATATCATGTGTACTGTCAGTTATTCATTATCTATTCTTTCACACTTTTAAAGTTGTTATGTATATATGTGTAATTATGTACCGTTATATATTTTTTTCTTTTCTTTTCTTTTCTTTTCTTTTTTTTCTTTTCTTTTTTTCCTTTCTTTTTTTATCGATTATGTGTGTGTGTGTGCGTGTGTGTGTGTGGTGTGTGCATTAGAACTATGTATGACAGAGTGGAAAATGAGTCAGCACAAATACTGATAAAAATATTAACGACACCTTTTCATACTTCCCAGGAATGCAGTGCAATGGTATGGTGAGTCGGGTGTATGATGGTGACGTGATAATGATAATAATCTTATGTTTATCAAGGATTCATTTACATGACGAAGGAGAAAAAAAAATATCATGTCATTCCTCGCTTATCAGTTCCACTTCCATTTCCATCGTCTTGTTTTTGTTTTGTTTTTTTGTTTTTTTTGTTTTTGTTTTTATCTACAAACTCTCGATCTTCACCAGCGCAATCACAATTTAAAAATAACAATAATAATAATAATAAAATAAACATGAATAAATAAATGATTAAATCTTAAAATCTCCGTCATTCCTTTAACAAGCTCAAGAAAGTGAATAAAAGACGCCCCTCTCTCCCTCCTGACGAAAATAGCTTCCCGTATAATTCCAAAAGCACATTATTTTCCTCTCTTCACTCTCTCAGAATCCAGCTCCAAGGAACCCCTTTTCTCCGGGGGGAAGATGAGGCTGGAAATAATCTTCTCATAGTTTGTCCGGTCGAAAAAAAAAGAAAATGGTGAGGGCATTGAGGTAAAAGAAAACGGAAAAGTCATTGAGGGAAGAGAAAACGGAGAAGTCGTTGAGGGAAGAGAAAACGGAGAAGTCGTTGGGGGAAAAGAAAGCGGAAAAGCTATTGAGGGAAAAGAAAACGGGAAAGTCATTGAGGGAAGAGAAAACGGAGAAGTCGTTGGGGGAAAAGAAAACGGAAAAGCTATTGAGGGAATAGAAAACGGGAAAGTCATTGAGGGAAGAGAAAACGGAGAAGTCGTTGGGGGAAAAGAAAACGGAGAAGCTAT